TGTTAGGTGAACGAATCTTCCTGAAATGTGCCTGGTCAATACTCTCTTCTCTGTCATATCAGGTCCAGACTCCTTTATCTGCCTATCAAGTCCCTCCATGGTTTGTCTCCACCGTATCCATAATTATATTTCCTGTTACTCCTCATCACACATCCACCAAGTAGGCTGGTAGCCCATTCTTCCCTGCATACGTATATGCTCACACTACTCTACCAAATCCTATACATATTTTGAGGTCCACTTCATCCATGCAAATCCTATATATACTTTGAAGTCCTCTTCTTCCACAAGCCTCTTTTCTAACAATTTTAGGCCACATTAGTTTTCATTTCCTAAGATTCCTGTTATGGTTACAGTTACTATCACAGTTTACCATTTAAATGTTTAATATTTCTATATGCCTATGTAGTTTTAAAAAGTACTTCACATACTTTTTTTAGCTTTGCAACAATCCTGCGTGGTTGGACACAAATTATTATTCATTAACTCCAGAAATGTTTTTGAGCATTTACAATGTACCAATGCCCTAGGAAGACACAAGGAATATAATAGTGGGTAAAAAAAGAAGACCCTGACCAATGTTCATAGTACTTATGAGACAGAGACAGACTTTAATCAAATAATCATGCAGTCAATGTAAGATTACAATACTAACAATTGCTAACATTTACATTTATTGAGCATTTATTATGTGGCTGGCACTGTTCCAAGTCCTTTACACATATTAACTCATTTTATATTCTCAACCACCCTATGAAGAAAGTATTATTATTCTATGTTACACATGAGGAAAATTACAGTTATGGTACATAAAAGTGTGTGGTAACTCAGTTTCCATATATAACAAATTCTTATTGGTAGAGCCCTTAGATCAGTGACTGATGTGTAGTAAACATGTCTGAATATTAGCTATTATGATGATGATGGTGAGAGATTAAAATGGGAGAATTCTATTAGAGGCATTGAGGGGAGCTATGATCTGAAGGAAAGGCAGGTGTGAATGTGGCCAAGTGGGCAGTTGGGTGGCCGTGTTCTAAGCAAAGGCAACAGCCCATGCAAAGTCTCTGGGGGTAGAGGGGGTGGAGGGAGACCTAGAAGGCACTCATTGTGGCTGAAGGAACATGATATCAGATGAGGATGCAGCCTAGATTATGCAGGGGCCTGGCCATGTTGAAGATTTTGGTCTTTAAGAGTCACCGAAGGGTTTTTAACAGGGGCTTATGTGATCAGATATGCATTTTATAGGATTATTTTGGCTACTATGAGAAGAAAGGATGGAGGGGGCTGAGAGTGGATTAGAGTAGATGATTAGGAAGATTTTACAGGAGTACACAGGGAGAGAAGATGGTAGCTTGGACAAATCTAGTGAAAGTAGAGTTAGAAGTAAATGGATCTAATATAAAAAGATAGAATTTGGTGATGGATTGGAGCGATTAGGGGTTGAGGGACATCAGGGCCTAGGTTTTTGTATAACTGTTCATTGAAATAAAACTCCTGGAAAAGGCTAAGTTTTGAGGGAGAAAATCATGAGTTCAGTTATATATACATTGAATTTGAGATGCCTCTGAGACTTCCAAGAAGAATGGATAAGTAGCCTGTGTTCCGATGCATGGTCAAGGCAGAGGTCATTGATAAAGAGGTGGTGGTAAAGTCCTAGGCATGGACAAGAATATTCAGAAGTATTAACTGGAAAGAAAAGAAAAGAAGGCCTAGAACCGAGCTTTGAGAGATGCTTGGGGTTAATGCATGGATAGAGGAGGATATACTTACAAGGAGTCAGAAGGAGTGGTCAGAAGGATAAGAAAAAAACTGGGAGAGTACTGTCATGGAAGCTGGAAAAGAGAGCATTTCAAGAAGGGAGAGTGGTCAGATTGTGTCAGTTGTTGTTGGAAAGTCAATAAGATGACTGAAAAATGTTGGATTTGTTGACACTAAGATTTTATCAGTGAGACATAAGTGATCTCAATCAGAGGTCCTTCATGGGTGTGATAACGCAGGACCCCAGAGGAGAACTGGCTGAACAGTGAGTGGAAGGAAAGGAAATGAAGGCAGTTAGAGGAGTAGCTAGAAGGGAAGCTAAGATCCAGGAAGGGTTTTGTTTTGTTTTCTTTAACAGAAAAAAAAAAAAAAAAGAATGTTTAAAACCATTGAGGGTCCTATTCAGAGGAAAACAAAAATTGAAAAAGATATATAGATGAAACCAGACTGTGTAGTCCACAGGGAAGAGTTCTGAGGAGGCAGGGTTGAGGGAATCCAAAACACAGGAAAAGAATTTGGCCCTAATTAGGAGGAAAGACAGCCCCTCCATTAAAACAGGAGGGAAGGAAAACAGGATGGGTACTGGTGAAAGTAGGATTATATGTTTAGTACTAAGAAGGTGGAGAATGGGATAGTTTCTATTTTTTCAGGAAAGTCAATTGAGCTTCCACTGGACAGAATTTATTTTGCCTTGTTACCAGTTAAATACAGTTTACATAAGTTGTAAAATACCTCCAAAGCAATAAAAAGCTAGAATCAGATAACGTGGAAAGGTCTGCTCTAAAGAATGCATAGTTTTCCATTGGAAACACCAGTTATATTTTTTGCTTCTTCCAAATTTCAGTACACCTCTCATCCCAGAGGTATGTGGAACCTGAGAGTATAAACAGCACCATTTGGGTGGGGCAACAGGAAAATAGTGTCCTCAAGGGAGAGTCAGATTTTAATAAAGGTAAGAAATTGAAGAGAAAGCTTGACAATGCAGGGGCTTTTGCAGGCTGTGGATAATAAGTTCTAGAGGGCACAGTGGAAGAGTTTGGAAGGTAGGGTGAGGCTGAGAGAAAGGTAAGGTTGTAGAGAGTAATATAGGCATAATAATACATTAGCACTTTGGTTCTCAGCGGGGGAGGGAGTTGCCCTCCCACCCTGAGGTTGTCAGATAAAACACCAGAAGCCAGTTAATTTTTTTTTTTTTTTGGCTGCGTTGGATCTTCCTTGCTGCGCGGGCTTTCTCTAGTTGAGGTGGACGGGCTTCTCACTGTGGTGGATTCTCTTGTTGCGGAGCACGGGCTCTAGGCACCCGGGCTTCAGTAGTTGTGGCTCGCAGGCTCTAGAGCGCAGGCTCAGTAGTTGTGGTGCACGGGCTTCGTTGCTCCGCGGCATGTGGGATCTTCCCGGACCAGGCCTCCAACCCATGTCCCCTGCATTGGCAGACAGTTTTTTAACCACTGAGCCATCAGGGAAGCCCGAAGCCAGTTAATTTTTGAATTTCAGATAAATAAAGAATAGGGGATGAAAAATATATGTCCTGTTGTTTTTGTTTTTATTTTGCTTTTTTGTTTTGCTAAATCTAGTAACTCTACCCTAAGGGCACATTTGTCATGTCTGGAGAAGTTTTTTGATTGTCACAACTGTGGGGGGAAGGGTGCTATTGGGATCTGGTGGGTTGAAGCCAGGGATGCTGCCAAATATCTTAAAATGCACAGGACAGCCCCCACAGAAAGCATTTTCCAGCCCAAAATGTCAATAGTGCTCAAGTTGAGAAACCATGATGTATTTGAACAATGATCTATAAATTTTTTATCACAAACTCTCCTTTCAACATTTAACATACACCCATGTTATATGTATATAATGTAATACTGTCCTAATATATTTGTACATTTTTAAATCACAAAAAAGGTTTAAAAATTTAAAAACTAGGGCTTCCCCCTGGTGGCGCAGTGGTTGAGAGTCCGCCTGCCAATGCAGGGCACACGGGTTCATGCCCCGGTCCGGGAAGATCCCACATGCCGTGGAGCGGCTGGGCCCGTGAGCCATGGCCACTGAGCCTGCGCGTCCGGAGCCTGTGCTCCGCAACGGGAGAGGCCGCAACAGTGGGAGGCCTGCGTACCGCAAAAAAAAATTTAAAAACTAAAGGATGAGCTGAAGCTGAAATAAACACACTATTTTAAAATATAAATTTTGTTTATTTTCTATACGAAAAGCGCTTTTTGCTCCCATGAACTTTTTTTTTTTAAGCAAGAGCAATCTGATTGACTGCTTTATTTTTGAAATGGTGGTTTAACACACTATGATGTTATGATTTCTGAAGTTTGCCTCTATGATCTGTTTACTTTATTACTTCGTTTTAATGGAAATGAAACTCACAAAAATACAAAGGATCCAAAGGGAAAAAAGCGGGCTGGGCTTACTCAAACATGAAATTGATTTTTCAGTCCCGATGAATTTTACTGAAATTCATCTAGTTAATTTTTATCTTCTATATCAATCAGTTACACTTGCAAATTAATCAGAAGATGTTATATTTTTAGCAAATATATTTAAAATTCACTGAATCTCTTTTATTCGTAAGATTCTTAAACACAGTAGAAAACTATTTCCAAGGTTTTAGGCATGCAAATATGAACATTTTATAAGTGACATACTTCTATGTTTTTTGGCAAAAAAACACCCCTACCAAAATAGAAAGACTTCTAAATATCATTTTCCAAAATATTCGTTTACAGTAGCTTTCAAAAAGCAGTTGTTTGTCACTCATTACACTATCAACCTTATCTTGAAGGAAAAGAGTTTAAAACATTGTTTTTTAGTATCTATAGAGTTGCATACTACTGACAGCCACCTTATCATTAACATCATCCACATTTGAAAAAGTTAGCAAATTCAAATGCTCATTTTTTTGTAAAAGAAAAGTATATGTTATCCCTCACCACTGTCTTCCCCAGCAGAAAAAAAGAAAAGTGTAAGTTATTTGTAGGTTCTGACAACTATTTTAATACTCTGACAAGAAACACTTAGCGAATCTCTGAGCGAAGCCAAATATCTTTGTCAGCAATCCCCTTTTCACCATAGACCACTGTATTATGAACACTCTGCTACATAAAAGTCTTGGTTCTATAAAAATGAACATACTGATGTCATCGCTTAAGCACAAAAAGTATAATATGGGTGAGGACTATCAATCCATTTGCACTGCGGAGCTCCTATGTCTCCCTGAAGATACCAAAATGACTCATAGCCAGCTGGCATCCAGACCAAATAAGGATGCCAGTGTCCAGCTGTATGTTAAATAGTAGCAAAGCTGAATTTCTTTATTATTGTTTTAGACTTAAAAAGTATAAATAGAAATCTAACATTTTTTGTTAATATCCTAGTATACCATCACGCACACCCAGGATGTGCCTATCCTCCTCCACTGTGGGGACCATTACGTTAGAGGATGGTGTAGCTTGAGACCATTTCCACTTCTTTGCTGAGGTATGTGAGGCCAAGACAGACTGAAGTCAGAGAGACCTGGGTTAGAGCTTCCTAAAATGGCTCCATTGTTCATCAGCTGTGCAGTCTTCTGCAAATTACATAATTTCTGTGCCTCTGTTTCTGTATTTGTAAAATGGAATAATATTGTAAAGTGGAGATAATAATACCTCATGGGACTGATGTGAGGATTAAATAAAATAATGTTAACATAACCATGCCACCTCTCCTAAACACTCACAAATTGAGCCTACTCTCCAAGCCCTTGCCCTCAGCCTTGGCCTACCCATCTGTTTCACAAGGATCATATATAGGCAATGTTATTTACTTCTCATATTCAGTCCAAGGTCCTATCTGCATAGATTGAAACCAAAAGACTAAATTGTAGGGAATTCCCTGGCAGTCCAGTGGTTAGGACTCTGTGCTTTCACTGCCGAGGGCAATGCGGCATGGCCAAAAAAAGAAAAAAAAGACTAAATCGTAAAGTTAACAACCATCAGCAGTCCTTATGTAAAATAATAAGGGAAAATCAGGAGAGAGATTCTTTTTATGTACACACATAAAAAGCTGGAAGAAAATATGCATAGCTATTACTGTGCTCATTTCTGTAAGTGGTCACAAGGCCATAACTGACATTTATAAATGTTGTCTTCCACTATCCATTCATTATTTCCTTTCCCTCACCTAGAACCTCTTTTTCTGGCCTGAGTTCTTTAGCTGCTGGGATGAACCAGACTTTCATTCCTGAAGAATCTAAATGCCCTTCAGGGTCCTGCTTTTTTCTGGTTGCTCTAATTTTCCATTAATCTTTTCTATTAGATGTGGAAGTGCTGAAAGGCTTCCCAGAGAATCTCTTGGGTTCCAGAGAAACTCTTGGGTACCTGTGTAACAGAGACCCAATTCCCCCTTGTAATTAGGATCAATCACCTCACCCAGCTGAGCAATCCTTTTATTTTTTTGGCTGTGCCCCTTTCGGAATCTTAGTTGCCCGACTGAGGATTGAACCTGGGACCCAGCAGTGAAAGCGCTGAGTCCTAACTGCTGGACCGCCAGGGAATTCCCTTGAGTAATCCTTTCCTGGCTGTTGGTTCTGTGACATGAGGAGCCCAAAATGGCTAGGGGGGCATCTAACTTCCCATTCAAAAGAACTGTTATTGTGTTTCATGGTAGAAGCATTACTCTGTTGGGTACTAAGGCCTCCAAACCAACAGAACTCAAAGTTGCAGACATGGGAAGTAAAAATTCTGGAAGGGGATTATTAGGTATAAGAATGAGAAAAGCCATTTCTACTTCCAACCCTTGATTTGTGGATACATGCATTCTGGCTGTAGAAGAAATAGCACTATATATTAAAGAATATATTGAATTTTATAAGATGATCCCAGTCTTTCAAGATGCTATCTCCCACTGGCAAGGGTGCTCAAATCAAGCCATTAGTAGGCTCTTCCAGCACTCCATCAGGCCACATGCTTTTGGTTAATAAGGTATATGGAAAGATCAATGAATTTCATAGACATGAGCCCATTGTCACACTTCTTTTACAGTGAAATATGCTTCCCATTAGAAGCAACCCTGTATGAAACACCATTACAGTAAATAAGGCATTCTGTTCAAGTCTTGGATAGTGATGCTGACAGAAGCACCGTATGAGCAGGGAAGACAAATCCATACCCATAATATATGTCTATTCTGGGAAGGACAATTGCTGTTATATAAGGGGTCCAGTGTAATCAACTTGCTACCAGTCGGCTGACTGCTTCCCCTAGGAGTGTCGTATTGAGGGTCCAGTCAGTATTTATCATAGGTGTGTTAGACTTGCTGAGGAGCTTACTTAGGTCAGACTTATTGAGAGGAAGTTGATGTTGCTGAGTCCACACGACTTGGCCACATTGTACCTGAGCTCATTGAGCAAACACTATTGTGTCTGGAGAAAGAAATGAAGTGATATTCATACTAAGTGTCATCTTGTCCACTTGACTGACAGCCTCCTCTGCAGTGGATGCCCTTTTGTGAGCATTTTTATGAGACACGTATTACATTCTGCTTATCTGAGAGGTCCATTCACACACCTCTTCCCCATACCTTCTTTCTACTTACCTTCCAATGCCGCTGTTCTTTCCAGTTCCCTAAGCGTATTGTGAAGCTGTAAGCAACTGCCCATTAGTCAGGGTAGGTGTGTTCTGGCCATTCTTCAGTTCAGATAAAGTGGACAACCAAGTGTATTTCTTGAAGATCTGCCCACTGGGAGGATTTACTTCACCACTGTCTTTTAAGGAAACTCCTATTGGGGGCTGTAATGCTACAGCTGTGTCTTCTCTTTGGCGCAGAATTATCTGTAAATCAGGCATGATTCGGGTAAATTACATGGGTTGATTTTCAAATGTTAAGCCAACTTTAAACTCCTGAGGTAATTTTTGTCCTCTCCCTTTTTTCTTTTCTTTTTTCTCTTTTTTTCTTGATCAATCTGGCTAGAGGCTTGTGATTCCTATTGATCAATTTTTTAAAATAGCCTTTGTTTTCATGGATTATATGCCCATTTTCTATTTTGTTGATTTCTACTCTTGATTATTTCCTTCTATTTTCCTTGGGCTTAATTTGATCTTGTTTTTCTAATTCCTCCTGGTGGAAACTTAGATTGTTGATTTTTGCTCTTTCTTCCTTTTGTGTGTGTTTTTCTTTTTTTTAAATATTTATTTATTTTGGCTGCACCAGGTCTTAGTTGTGACACATGGGCTTCTTAGTTGCGGCATGCATGCAGGATCTAGTTCCCTGACCAGGGATCGAACCAGGCCCCCTGCATTGGGAGCATGGAGTCTTACCCACTGGACCACCAGGGAAGTCTCTCTTATTTTTGAATGTAAAATATTTAAAACCATAAATTTCCCTCTAAAAACTCCTTTATCTGTATCCCACAAATATCAAATGTTTTATTTTCATTATCTTCTAATTTATCTTGATTTTTTTGACTTGTAGATTATTTAGAAGTGTGTAGATTGATTTCCAAATATTTTGAGTTTTCTTAGAATGTTATTATTTATTTGTAATTTAATTCCATTGTTAGAGAAATACTCTTTAAAATTTCAATGTTTAAAATACGTTTTATGGCTTAACATGCAGTCTTTCCTGGTAAACATATCATTTGCACGTGAAAAGAGTGTATTTTGCAGTTGTTGGGTGTAGCATTCTATAAATATCAATTATGACAAAATAGGTGATAGTGTTGTTCAGTTCGTATATGTCTTTGAAGATTTTCTACCTGGTTGGACTATCAGTTGCCTAGAGAGATATGTTAAAATCTTCAATTAAGACTATGGAATTGTCCATTTCCCTTTTAAAATTTATTTATTTATTTTTGGCTGCATTGGGTCTTTGTTGCTGTGCACGGGCTTTCTCTAGTTGTGGTGAGCGAGAGCTACTCTTCGTTGTGGTGCACGGGCTTCTCACTGCAGTGGCTTCTCTTGTTGCGGAGCACAGGCTCTACGCGCGAGGGCTTCAGTAGTTGTGGCACAAGGGCTCAGTAGTTGTGGCTCGCGGGCTCTAGAGTGCAGACTCAGTAGTTGTGGCACATGGGTTAGTTGCTCTGCGGCATGTGGGATCTTCCCGGACCAGGGGTCAAACCCATATCCACCACGTTGGCAGGTGGATTCTTAACCACTGCGCCACCAGGGAAGTCCCCTCCCTTTTAATTCTGTTAATTTTTGTTTCATATATTTGGAAGCTCTGTTATTAGGCATATACACATTTATAATTGTTATGACTTCCAATATATTGACCTTTTGTTATTACAAAATGCCCCCTTTTATCTCCTGTAGTACTTTTTATCTTAAAATCTGTTTTATCTGATATTAATACAGCCACTCCACTTTCGTACACTTACTGTTTGCATGTCTTTTTCTATCTATTTACTTTCAAACTATCTGTCTTTATATTTTTAAGTGTATATTTTATAGGTAGTAAATAGTGTAGTTTGCCTTTTTATGAAGCAATTCTGCCTGTCAGTTGAAGTGTTTAATACATTAACATTTAATGTAATTATTAACATGTTTGGATTTTGGCCTTCTATTTCATCATTTGTTTTCTATTTGTCTCCTCTGATTTGTTGTGCCTCTTTTTTTCCTTTTTGTCTTCTTTTCAACTATTTAAATATTTTAAAATTTAATTTTAATTTATCTATTGACTTTTTAGCTATACCTCTTTACATTACATTTTTAATAGTTAGTTGTTCTAGGAACTTCCCTGGTGGTCCAGTGGGTAAGACTCCGTGCTCCCAATGTAGGGGGCCCAGGTTCGATCCCTGGTCAGGGAACTAGATTCCACATGCCTTAACTAAAAGATCCCGCATGCCACAACTAAGACCTGGCACAGCCAAATAAATAAATGAATAAAATAAACATATTTTTAAAAAGTTGTTCTAGGTATTTCTTTTTTTTAGAAATTTTTAATTTTTATTTATTTATTTTTTAAATATTTATTTTGTTGTGCCGTGTCTTAGTTGTGGCAGACAGGCTCCTTAGTTGTGCTATGCAAACTCTTAGTTGCAGCATGCATGTGGGATCTGGTTACCTGAGCAGGGATCAAACCCAGGCCCCCTGCCTTGGGAGCGTGGAGACTTAACTCCGCCAGTCTTAACACTGCACCACCAGGGAAGTCCCTGTTCTAGGTATTTCTCTTTACATCCTTAACTTTTTAAAAAAATTAATTAATTAATTAATTTTTATTTATTTTTAGTTTTGACTGTGTTGGGTCTTCATTGCTCTGTGTGGGCTTTCCCTAGCTGCGGCGAGCAGGGACTACGCTTCGTTGCAGTACATGGGCTTCTTATTGTGGTGGCTTCTCTTGTTGCGGAGCACAGGCTCTAGGCACGCGGGCTTCAGTAGTTGTGGCATGCTGGCTCAGTAGTTGTGGCTCACGGACTCAAGAACGCAGGCTCAGTAGTTGTGGTGCACGGGCTTCGTTGCTCCATGGCATGTGGGATCTTCCTGGACCAGGGCTCGAACCCGTGTTCCCTGCATTGGCAGGCAGATTCTTAACCACTGCGCCACCAGGGAAGCTCTACATCCTTAACTTTTCCCAGTCTACTTAGTTAATATTTTACCACTTTACATAGAATGTAGAAGACTTGCAAGTCTACAGATCAATTTTCTATTCCCCATCTTTTATGCTATAGTTATCTTATGTATTACAGCTACAAATGTTATAAACCCAACAAGACAATTTTTGCTTTAAACAGTCATACGATTTTGTTTTTGTTTTTTAATTATGAGTGGGAAAAAAATCTCTTGTCTATTTACCCAGATATATACCATTTCTGATGCCCCTCATTCCTCCTAAAGAGCTGATTTTATGCCAGGTACCATTTCTTTTTAGTCCAAATAACTTCCTTTAGTATTTCTTGTAGTACAGTTTTGCTGGTGATAGATTCTTAAAACTTTTTTTTTAATCTTAAAGTTTTTATTTTGCCTTCATTCTGAAGGATGTTCTCCCTAGGTATAGAATTATGGGTTGTCAGTGTCTTCTTTTAGCACTTAAAAAATGTCAGTCCACTGTCTTCTGTCCTCCATTGCTTCTGGTGAAAATTAGTAGTTTTTTGATTCATCATTCTCTTGTATGTAATGAGTCATTTTTCTCTTGCTGTTTTCAGGACATGCTCTTTTTCTGGTTTTCAGCAGTTTGAATATACTATGCCTACGCATGGTTTTCTTTGAATTTACACAGCTTGGGATTTACTGAAATCTTTGGGCCTGTAAATGTATGTCCATCCACAAATTTGGGAAATTTTTGATCATTTGATCATTGTACCTTCAAATATTGTTTTCTGTCTCTTTTTCTCTCTCTCCTCTCCTTCTGAGACTCCAGTTTAATATACATTAGATTTTTTTAATGTTTTCTGTGACCTCTGAAGCTCTGTTCATTTTCTTTCCAATGATTTTTCATTTCTGTTTTTCATATTGGATCATTCCTATTAACCTGTCTTCAAGTTAAACTGACTCTTTGGTCAACTCTACTCTGTTGTTACTTTTATCCAGTGAATTTTTTTTTAATATAAATTTATTTATTTATTTTTGGCTGTGTTAGGTCTTTGTTGCTGTGCATGGGCTTTCTCTAGTTGCAGTGAGCAGGGGCTACTCTTCTTTGTGGTGCACGGGCTTCTCATTACAGTGGCTTCTCCTGTTCCAGAGCATGGGCTCTAGGTGTGCGGGCTTCAGTAGTTGTGGCACGTGGGCTCAGTAGTTGTGGCTCGCGGGTTCTAGAGCACAGGCTCAGTAGCTGTGGCACACGGGCTTAGTTGCTCCACAGCATTACAGTGAATTTTTTTTCAGATTTTTTTTTTTTAGTTCTGAAATTTCCATTTGGTTCTTTTCTATCATTTCAATTTGTCTTCTGAGATGTCCTATCCTTCTGTACATTATGGACATTTTTCCTTTTTATCATTTAAGATGGCTATAATATCTGGCTTAAAATCTTTGCTAGGGCTTCCCTGGTGGTGCAGTGGTTGAGAGTCCACCTGCCGGTGCAGGGGACACGGGTTCATGCCCCGGTCCAGGAAGATCCCACATGCTGCGGAGAGGCTAGGCCCATGAGCCATGGCCGCTGAGCCTGCGCGTCCGGAGCCTGTGCTCCGCAATGGGAGAGGCCACAACAGTGAGAGGCCTGTGTACCGCAAAAAAAAAAAAAACTTTGCTAATTGCAGCAACTGTATCATGTTGGTATCCCTCTCTGTTGATTGTCTTTTCTCTTGAGAAGAAGATGTAATACATCATCTTATTTCCTCATATGTCAAGTAATTTTGAATTGTTGTGGAGACTAAATTCTATCTAGTCTCTATTAGATGTCTGATAGTTATTTTTTTTTAAAGAGTGTCAGTTTTGTTGTGGTGGTGGTTGTTTGTTTTAACATGCCATTAGGGATGATTCAAACTGCAAACTGTTTTTGGGCTGCAGTACAAATTTCAGTTCAGTTGTTTTATCTTTGGTTGGGCTGCTTGCAGTCTGCCCTGAAAATATGCAATTCAGCGGTTTACCAGAAGTTGAACAGTGTTTAAACACAAATTATGTGGCTCCCTCTGTCTAGTTCACTCCTTTCTTGGATTCTCCTCTCACTGTCCAGCAGCTGTGGGTCCCTCCAACTCTCTCCTCTGGTTTTTCAGAAAGACTATGAATTTTCTATCAGTGTTTTAGCACTCTAAGTAACTCTGGATGAAGCCTGCCTTCAGGTTAAAGACTATTATAAAACATAGAAAATTCATCCCATGCTATTGCTATCTTGTAGGTGTTGACCTCCTGTCAGAATCTATCTGCTTCTTTTTTCACTCCCAGTGCCTTCAGAGAGTTGGCTTGTGGTGTATTTTGTCTAGAGTCCATGTCTAGTCCAGTACAGGAGCTTACTAGGACATACCATAAGTGGAACTCCAGTAACATTTCAGATTACAGAAAACTTGTGAAGGTAGATTAAAGAGTTCCTATACACCCCATACCCAATTTCCTCTATTATTAACATCTTATCTTAGTACAGTATATTTGTCATAATTAATGAACCAATATCATTACATTATTATTAAAATCCATACATCAGATTACCTTTGTGTTCCAGGATCTCATCAGGGGATCCACTTTACATTCAGTTGACATGTCTTCTTATGTTCCTCTTGGTTGTGACAGTTTCTCAGACTTTTCATTGTTTTTGATGACCTTGGCAGTTTCGAAGAGTACTTACTGGTCAAGTATTCTGTAGAACGTCACTCAACTGGGATTTGTTTGATGTTTATCTCATGATTAGACTGGGGTTATGTGTTTTTGGGAGAAAGGCCACAGAGGTAAAGTGCATTTTCATCACATTATATCAAGGGTATTATATGGACTGAATTGTGTCATCCCCTGTCCCCTCTCCCCAAATTCATATGTCGAAGCCCTAAGCCCCAATTTGACTGTTTTTGGAGATAGGGCCTATAGGAGGTAATAAGGTTAAAAGAAGTAATAATGGAGGGGCCCTGATCCAATGGGATTAGTGCCCTTATAAGAAGAGATACCAGAGGGCTCTCTCTCTCCATCATGTGAGGACACAGTGAGAAGGTAGCCATATACAAGTCAGGAAAAGAAGTCTCAGCAGAAACAGAATTGGCTGGCACAGCCTTCAGAACTGTGAGAAAATAGATTTCTGTTCTTTAAACCATCCAGTCCAAGCTGTCTTGTTATGGCAGTCCTAGTTTATTTAGGCAAGTATGTACTGTCAGCATGACTTACTGCCTTGATAACCTGGCTGAGGTAGCGTTTGTCAAGTTTCAACACTGTAAAGTGACTCTTTTTTCCTCCTCGTTCCTTGCTGTACTCTTTGGAAGGAAGTCCATACATTGACTCTTCACTCACAGTCTTTGACCTCTGCTACTTCAAGATCCCAGCATCTCCACTGCAATCAGGGAACCCATCTCAACTATAACTTCTCCCTTCGTGAAACATGTCTACAGAAAACAGTCACCAAATAGTTTACAAGGATACTGGTGCCCATTCACTAATGTATTTCTCAGTGCTTTAGAGAAGGGAGTGTCCTCTGGGATTTCTCAGATGAGAGAGTGAGGGGGTGGCAATTCATACATGATAGATCCACTCCAACATTTCTATCTCCTTAAGCCTTTGGATTCCTTCTAAGTATGCCAGGAAGGTTTTGCATCTCAACTTTATTGAATATAGGCCACTACTAAAATGCAGTTTCAGTCAACCAACTGTTAGAGTCATTTCCAGCTGCATAGATAACACAGTAAATTTAGAATTGTGATGAGTGCCTACATCAACTGTTCAACCGAATCTAATATTACATTCTGTCTTCTTTATTTATTTCCTTCTTGGAAAGGAAGAATCCATTCTTCCACATATTCTCCAAGTTTCTTCAAATATAAATCAGCAAAGTATTGCAACATTAAGTACAAGTCATTTCTTCCCAGTCAGACCGTGAAAATGTTGCGATCTGACCCTGGTTATGGATCTAGAGCAGTGGTCCTCAGCTGGGGATGATTTTTTCCTCTAAGGGTACCTTTGGAAATGTCTGGAAATATTTTTGGTTGTCACAACTCAGGCTGGGGAAGCTGCTACTGGATCTAGTGGATAGAGGTCAAGAGTGCTGCTAAATATCTTACAATGCACAGGACATCTCACAACAAAGAATTATCCACAGCCATTGAGAAACCCTGATCTACAGCTAACAATGAGTGGTTGGAGTGAAACTTGGGGAACATAGACATCCTGCAGATGATATAATTACAGGACTTCTAAGCAAGGGATGAAGGGCTGTTTCTACTGGAGAGATTTGGGCATTCTAGAATCTTAACTTCGTTTGTGTTCCTAATGTCCCCATTCCAAGTTTCAGTGTCATACCCTTCCCAAACAATGCTCCATCTTTCACTAGAGTTTTGGCAAGGCTATGAAATCAACTTCTGTTGTAATTCTGAAACCTGCACAATTAAATTTTATGTTTGATTTAGCCTTCAGGTGCAAAAACTAAGGGGTTCTTTTAGGGCTGCCATAGAAGCTTTTGTCGTGCCTTGAACTGAATGTTTAATGACTTGAACTTTTCATTTCTTTATGTAAGTTCTTCAGTGCGTGCAAATAAAGTCACTCCCAGCCTACAGTTGTTATAGTCACCACTACCATCAGTCAAATATGGCTCCAAAGCATTTGCGTTAGTGGGCACTTCAACACAAATGACTAAAGGTGATAAAATGATGTCATTACGTCTCATTTCCCGTTGATGAGTTGCTCAACATTGAGTTTGAATTTAAGGATATGACCAAATCAACCCGAAATCCTATATCTGAAAGTCTGTTTCTTAGAACCACTCTTAGACTATTTTCTGTATTAGGATTCAATAAAGAAACAGAAACTGCAGCAGTTATCTGAGGAAATTAACACAAAGAGTTATTAGAGCTATCACAGGTGTTGGAGAATTGAAAAGGGAAAGTGAAACAGAGAAAGTAGTAACTGCAAGCAGTAGATGGAGAAATAAAAGGTCAAGGTTGGGGTTATTGGGACCAAGCACTTGAAGGAAGGGTCTTAGAGGTGGAATCCAGACCCTGAGGAGAACATGCTGCCTTGTACTGACCTTATACTGGTACCTCAGTGGCTCAGAGGAGGGACCTGAGTCCCGAGGTCTGTCAGGACTCAGACCGCTGAGGAGGTTGGCTGGCTGGCTGGTACTGGTATCTCTGAGGAATGTGATAAGCCTCCTTCTGGGAATATGGAAAGAAGTCCAAAGCTGGAACCAACCGCTGCTGCTGGCATGAAGAACTGTTGCCTGGGTGACACTGATAGAAATAGGAAGTGAACAGGAAGGAGCAAGTCCTTTCTCCCTTATTTCTGTCTCTGATCTCCCACTATTGGCAGAACCTAACGGAGAGCCAGGCTGGCAAAGGAAATATGTGAATTGCAGAGACCTAGCCCAGCACCAAAAGAGAGAGCAGAGGTCGGAGGGTTTGAAGCTGAGGAACAATTTCTTTACAATCAGCATAGTTAGACAACCATTATTAGATTACATACAAAAAGATGAGGGAGAGGAAGAAGCCTAGAATATTTCACAGGTTTCCAGTATTAGTAACCAAATAAATAGTGGATAAAGAGGTAGAATATATGTGGAGTGGGGAGTAGAGAGGAGGTAGCTTGTAGTGAGTGAAAAAATCTGTTGCGATTGATAAATTTAGTTGGAGAAACCTGGAGTCTAATATAGTATAATTCAAAGTGTAGTCTCTGGATTAGCTAGCATGCAATTTTTAAAAATTGTGGCAAAATACACAAGATAAAATGTATCATTTTAATCATGTTTTAAATTGTGGCAGGTAAATAAATGTATAAAATATCTTAAAATTGACCATTTTAACCATTTTTAAGTATACAGTTCTGTGGCATTAGTTATATTACATTCATATTGCTTTGCGATTGTCATCACTATCTATCTCCAGAACTTTTTCATCATCCTAAACTGAAACTCTGTACCATTAAACCATGACTCCTCATTCCTCCTTCACCCAGCCCCTGGCCACCACCATGAATCTGACTGTTCTAGCTACTTCGTATAAGTGAAATCATACATTATTTGTCCTTTTGTGTTAGGATTATTCACTTAGCATGATGTATTCAAGGTTCATCCATGTTGAAGCATGTATTATAATTTAATTCCTTTCTAAGGCTGAATGATATTCCATTTTTGGTACATACCACCATTATGTGCAATCTGTTTTTATCAATCCTCAACAAGATAAAAGCTTGTGCCAAAGTATAAACTACCTATGTCAGCAAGCACAATGTTAAGTTCCCTTCACATTTTTGTTGGAAGATTTTTCAGTGAAGGAAGCAGAATGCTGATTTACATTCCATAGCAAGGTCATTTGCTCATTTCAGCCCAGTATTTTGAGTAGCATTGGTATAATAAGTATTTAGAGACACAGCTTTGGACTGGAGATTTGGGAATCATCATCTGTAAAAGAAAAAAGTCCAAACTAGGACCAAGACGCAATTTTTGCGTAATGTAATTTACAGCCTCTTTCCAGGAAGAAATTAGAATTACTGATTAAATGCTCACAACTAATGGGATTATAACTTCTGAGAAACCAGTTATGCACCCACTCACCCTTCAGTTAAGAGTATAGTGAGTTTTACCAAATATACTTTTCTTTTTTGTATCTACTCTAAAATGATTTTCTAACCAATCTCTTCCTCTCAGATATCCCTACCAAAAGTAAATCTTTGAATTTAACTTCTTAAAGGATAATAGTTTTAAAAAAATCATGATAGGTGCAGATATGAAATGAATGTGTCAAAGATTTAATTTAACTCATTAATTAATGAGGGAATGGGAAAAGATGTTGCAGTCAGTTCAAAGGAACATCCAAAGACCAGACAAGTATCTAAGCCCATGGGAAATGTTGAAACCAATTTTCTTAATAGATGCAAAGCTTGCTTATTGGAGGGTGTCGGGGGCAGGGATGTCAATAGAAGCTTCACCTAACAGAATTTATTTGCAAATATAAAGACAATAATTATTTGCATTACTATTAGTTTTTTTTTTTTTTTACAAATTAGCTTATATCTCTTCAGTTTTGTAAAACAGTTCAAAGTCAGTAAAAGGCATAAATCCCATAGAATCTGATAAGTGGCAAGAGTATATTTAAAACAATGCATAGTTTCCAATTTCCCAGTAATCTTTTGGTTCATTTAAAAGTATTTCACACTTTCTCCCATATCCTACTACAGAGCTTCTTCCTTATTGCAAGATGATAATGAAATTTTGATACATGCTCATATCAAAATTATCTGAAAATTTTTCTTCAACACTTGGTTTCTAATATTGGTTGCTGATGTGAGAGAGTAATGCAGGAGTCTCGAAAGAAGTGATTTTCACTGAATTCTCATATTACTAGCATGGCACCCCTATCCTTAACTAGATAAGAGGTAGAGGGTAACCTCTACCCTCTCCAGGAAATCAATCCTAAACCTTCTGCAGGGGCCCGTAGGGGAGTGACTTGGGAGCTAGGGAGGAGCTGGTGGTCTGCTTCCGAAGTAGACTTTTAACCAATTATTGTGCTTTTAGTCCCAACTTTTACCTGCTTCTTGAGGTACCTGGTGCTGCCAATTCTAGAGTCTTTTGGTGGTTCTCTGGGACAAAGCAGGCTTGCTCTTAGCCTGTCCTTTGACAGATGATGAGTCTGCTAAGTCAGTTCCCACCATCCTTCTGCTTTCCAGCTTCCAAAATGTTAGTGATTTTATGTCCTGTTCCGTGAGAGACTGACTATACAAATGGACAAATAGCCATACCACGTATGACAATAGAACACTGACCCCTAATCTCCACGGCAGGCAACCAGCCTCTGGGGCAGTCAGCCCAGAAGTGTCAGTGAGTCAGCTTCCTTATATCTTGCCCCCACTTCCAACACAGGACCAAACAGAGAAAGCCAAAACAATCACAGAAGAAGCCTGGCTTCCATTTAGCGTATCCCTAGCTTCCCCATGACAATGAACTCCATTCAGAGAATATCTAAAGCCTTCCCTTGTTTTCACTATAAAGATTTCCCATTTCTCTGCCTGCCTTTGAGTCTTTGCCAAACAGAAGTGATGGCTGACTCCCTGCCACAGCAAGTTCTGAGTAAATAGCTTCTGTTTTTTCTCATTTGGGTGGCCTTCATCTTTTTCTATATCTTTTTACCTTGAAGCTTTGTGTTTTCCCATTTTTTAAGAGGAATTTCAGGAGGAAGTGGACTTATATGTGGCTCAGTCCGTCACCTTTAACTGGAGTTCTCTTTCTGTGCTCTTTTCTCTGTGATCTAGAGGCCAGAGTCTACACTTTTCCCCCAGCTCCAGAAAACCCAAAATAACCTTTGTCTTTTCCTCTTGCAAACCTGGATGCAAAATTCAACACCTATTCAAATTCCTCCAAAGAATCTACTGGAACAAAAGCACTAGAGAACAATATAGACTTAAGGGAAACCTACCTAGGAGGGAGAGAAGATGAAGTTGCATAACACGCACCCCCCCATGACCCCGCATAAAGAACTTAAACTCACATCCCAGAACACTTTAAACACTCTTTCTCTCCCAAAGTGTCTCCTCCGAGGTATCTTTCTCCCAGGAAGATTCAGCCTTTCAGTCTTTCAACCCCTATTGTTAGATGAACTTGTCTCACTGGGGGATGTATGTGTCTCACCCTCACTCTAAGGAGGCTTCATGAATTTCTTCTAAATGAATTCAGGCATCTTTCCCAAGAGGTAGTCTCATTCCAGCTCCTTAAGAGAAAAAAAAAGTTCTGATTCTCTAAACCACCAAAAAAGGATACCTTTTCTCACTTGCTGACAAATAGTCTTTTTGTGGTTCCAACTAGCTTGTAAGCTTCTTGAGTGCATAGCTACATATTTTTATAATCTGTATAGTACCTAATAATATTACAAAAGTTTATAGATGTGACCAGCAGGCAGAAAGGAGCAATAGAATTTCAATGGAAGGAAATAGGATATTCAGAAAGAGCCTATTTAGTGGTTCCTCAAAGTTTTGACCTTTATCTTCAAGACACTGAACAAATCCAGTAAAGGGTATCCACTTTTTTTTTTTTTTTTTCCGGTACACGGGCCTCTCACTGTTGTGGCCTCTCCAGTTGCGGAGCACAGGCTCCGGACGCGCAGGCTCAGTGGCCATGGCTCACAGGCCTAGCCGCTCCGTGGCATGTGGGATCTTCCCGGACCGCGGCACGAACCCGTTGTCCCCTGCATCGGCAGGCAGATAGATTCTCAACCACTGCGCCACCAGGGAAGCCCAGGGTATCCACCTTTATTGTACATCTACTGGGCACTGTATTCAGCAGGTTTAAGTTAACCTGGGTGGCATGCATTCATTATTAGTATCTTTCATGTCCTGTATCACTTAGGGATTGGGTTCTATTGCTAGTAACAAAGACTTGACTGCATGGCTTAAAAAAATTAATTTATTTTCTCATGTAAAAGAAGTCCAGAGGTAGGCAGTTCAGGGTTAGTACAGACTATAGAGGGAATCAGGGGTCCAGGCTTCTTCCTCCTTTCCACTCCACCTTTCTAGGTACCTGGCTTCCATCTTCAAGGTGCCACTGCAGTGGCAGAGGGCTGTGGAGTGCCAGCCATCAGGTCCTAGTCTCAGCAAGAAAGAAGTAGAAGGGTAATGACAAAAAGGCAAAAAAAAAAAAAAAAAAAACCCACCAAAAAATGCCCCCTTTTTAGTAACTTTACCCAAAGTCCAATGCAAAAACTTGTTTATACCTCATTGGCCAGAACGTAGTCACATGGCCACCATAATTATTCACAATGGAGACAGAAAAATGCATTTGTTAGTGCATTTAATACCCTGACTTCTGTTACTAAGTAGAGAGGAGAATGGATATTGGGTAGGCCACTAGCACTTCTGCCACAGTTCCTCTTAAACTTTCTGTACGTGATGTCCTAATGCTTGGCATTAAGTTGTCCTTGGAATCAATAAATAAATGAATAAACCATTTTTAGATAAATCAAGCAGTTCACAGCATGATCTCTCTCTTTTTTTTTTTTTTTTTTTTTGTAGTTAATTGACTTTATTACTAGAGCAGATTTAGGTTCAGAGAAAATTCTAACATAAAGCACGAGTTCCCATATGCCTTCCCCCCAACTCCCCCCGCCTTGTCACACAGGCACAGTTTCTATTAACATCTTCCACTGGTGTGGTATGTTTGTTACAATTGATGAACCAATATTGATACATTATTACTAACTAAAGTCCATAGTTTAGGATTTTCTCCTTGTGCTGCACAGTTCTATGGGTTTTAATACATGCATAATGTCATGTATCCACCATGACAGTATCATACAGAATAGATTCACTGGCCTAAAATCCCTCTGTGCTCCACCTATACACCCCTCTCTTCCTCCCCAGGAACCTCTGGCAACCACTGATCTTTTTACTGTCATCATAGTTTTGCCTTTTCCAGAATATCATGTAGTTGGAATCACACAGTATGTACCCTTCTCAGACTGGCTTCTTTCACTTAGCAATATGCATTTAAGGTTCCTCCACGTCTTCTTATGGGTTGATAGCTAATTTCTTTTTATCACTGAATAATATCCCATTGTATGAATGTAATACAGTTTTGTTATCTATTCACCTATTGAAGAACGTCTTGGTTGCTTTCAATTTATGACTAAAGCTGCTATAAACATTTGTGTGCAAGTTTTTGTGTGGATTAAGTTTTCAACTCATTTGTGTAAATACCTAGGAGCATGATTGCTGGATTGTATGGCAAAACTATGTTTAACTTTGTTAAGGAACTGACAAAGTATCTTCAGAAGTGGCTGTACCATTTTGCATTCCAGCCAGCAATGAATGAGAGTTTCCGTTGCTCCATATCCTTGTCAGCACTTGGCATTGTAGTGTTTGGATTTTAGCCATTCTAACAGAATTTACAGAATCAATGAAATACTGGTATCCCATTATTGTTTTAGTTTACAATTCCCTAATAACATATAATGTTGAACATCTTTTCACATGCTTATTTTGGATATCATATAACTTCTTTGAAATGTCTATTCAGATCTTTTGCTCACTTTTTAATTGGGTTGTTGAGTTTCAAAAGTTCTCTCTGTATTCTGTATAACAGTCCTTTATTAGATATGTGTTTTGCAGATATTTCCTCCAAGTCTGTGTTTTGTCTTTTCATTCTCTTGTCTAATAAATTGTTGGCATAAAGTCATTCATTACATTTTCTAATTTCTTATATCTCTGCTGTATTTTGTTATGTTCCCCCTTCTAATCCTAGTATTATTTATTTGTTGTTATTTCTCTTCTATCTGGATCAATCTCACAGAACTTTTTTCATTAGTGTTTTCAAAGATCTAACCTTAGTTTTGTTGGCCATATGAATAACATCTTTTTCTATTTTATTAATTTATTCTCTGATTTTTGTTATCTTCTTCCTTCTAGTATTTTGGATGTATTCTTTTGTTTTTTCTAATGTATTACCTGATCACTTATGTAATTTTTAGTCTTTCTTATTTTCTAGTGTAAAAAGCATATAACGTTATCAATTTACATGAATCCTATAAATTTTCATATATGTATAGTATTTATTATTACTTCTCAAATCTAATATTATAAATTTCCATTGGGATTTCTTTTCTGAGCTTTAAATTACTAAGATTTTTTTAAAAAAATTCTCCAGGGGCTTCCCTGGTGGCGCAGTGGTTGAGAGTCCGCCTGCCGATGCAGGGGACACGGGTTTGTGCCCCGGTCCAGGAAGATCCCACATGCCGTGGAGCGGCTGGGCCTGTGAGCCATGGCCGCTAAGCCTGCACATCTGGAGCCTGTGCTCCGCAACAGGAGAGGCCACAACAGTGGGAGGCCCGTGTACTGCAAAAAAAAACCCCAATTCTCTAAATATATGGAGTTTTAAAAACAATCATTTTATTATTGATTTCCAACTTAATTGTAATGTGGTCAGAAAATGAGATCCGTATGATAGCATTTTTTTTTCAGTATGTAGAAAGTTGCTCAATGGCCTAAATTAAAATTAATTTTCTTAAATCTTTGTTTTTAAAGTATGTGTGTGCTTAAAATACTGGGTGTAGAGTTTATACATGTTCCTTAGTAAATGTTAATTAATAGTGTTGGAGACAATCCTGCAATCACTGGTGAGTCTTGGATGTCTTTTCATATTTAAGAGTGCTATAGGCTGAATGTTTTGTGTCCCTTCAAAATTCATATGTTGAAAACTAACTCCCAACATAATGGTATCAGGAGGCAGAGGCCTTTGAGAAGTGATTAGGTCATGAGGGTGGAGCCCTCATGATTGGGATTAGTGCCTTATAAAAGGGGCCCAAGAGGACTTCCCAGTGATTAAGACTGCATCCTTCCAACGCAGGGGATGCAGGTTCAATCCCTGGTTGGGGAACTCAGATCCGACATGCTGTGTGGTGTGTAAAAAAATAAAAAAGAAAGCCCAAGAGAGCTCCCTACCCTTGGTTAAGTGAGGACACAGTGAAAAGACAGCTGTCTATAAACCAGGAAGTAGGCACTCACCAGACAATAAATCTGTCAGCACGTAGATCATGGACTGTGAGAAATAAATTTCTGTTGTTTATAAGCTACCCAGTCAATGGTATTTTGTTATTACAGTCCAAAGGGACTAAGACAGAGTGAAGTACTAAAAAGTTGACTGGAAATTATTTATGCATAGATGGGGCTTGTTGACTGGGCCTTAAATGTAGGGTGATTGCTTATGGATGTAGACAGTTTATTATGGGATCCCTCAAATGATGTGTCCTTCCATTCTAATCTAATTTCTATCCTCTAAAATTATACTGATATTTGTTTGACTGCTATTATCGCCTCTCCTGTTCTCTTTCTTCTTTGGGCTTATAAACTTTTCACTCCTTTATTTTCATTAAAAAAAAAAAAAAAAAAGAAGTCCCCCCAAAAAAACCATCACTTTTTATTGATGTATGTATGCATTCAGAAAACCAACATAAATATGCAACCTGAACACACATGTAAACCAGCACTCAGATTAAGAAACAGAACATTATTAGCACTTCAAGAACCTCCCCATGTTCTCTTCCAGAGTCACTACTCCACTAAGAGTAATCACTACACTTGTTACCCAACCATACTTGGGTCCGCTCACCTGCGCATAGTAAAGCCAATCTACTGACACTGGATTGTGGTGTAGGAAAGTGCAGCATTTATTGCAAGACACCAAGCAAGGGTCCAGGCAGCTAGGGCTCAAAAGATCTGAACTTCCTGATGGCTTTCAGGGAAAGGTTTTTAAAGACAGGGTGTGGGAAAGGGGTTGTGGGTGTGAGTGATCAGCTCGTGGACATTCTTCAGATGGGTTGGTGATGAGGTACTGATAATACTACTGTCTCATGAGGTTATGAATATTAAATGAGACAAAATATGTAAAACATTTTGCAGAGTTCCTAGCACACTGTGATCACAGTCATCAAATGGCAGCTATTATTATCCCTTATATTGTTTATGCACGTCTCATTTCTCCTATTTTACACATTCTGTGACAAAGCAACAGCACATAGCACACATTAGCTGCCTCACAAATAACAGTTGCTGATAGACTGGGTGAATGAAAGTTTTTAAATATAAATGGAAGGTATTGTGGTTATTGTTATAAAAGATGTTATAAATTATTATAATGGCTATAGTATAAAATGTGCTGCTAATGAGGAATACATTATTTAAACAAGTGTCTCTTCTATTTACCTTCATCATTTAACAGTTAAGAATATCTATGCAGTGGAGAAACACTACTGGAGCTAATTAGTAAGGACAGTTAGATGTCCCAGATTGCATTTGTAAGGGTTCCAGAGGCTTCTTTCTTTAAAACCAAAACAAACAAAAATATCACCTGGAAACAAAAACAAAAACACCACTTATCTGAAAAGATGTTAAGGTTTTCCAATTTTAACAAATCTTTTGTTCAGCAGTGGAGAAACTCGGGAGGCACCACCTGCCCCCAACGGCTTCCGTACAAGATGGCGTCGTCCATTTGTACACCCTGACTGGGGTTGTCCCTTCAGCCCGTCACAGGACCGGAAGTGGTTTCGGTCCTAGTGGATCCGGGTGGGTGCGCGCAGGTGGCCACAGAGGTTCCAGGTCTTCAATGTGAGGCGCCGCAGGTGTTCCCGGTGGGGTCCAGGGCCGCAGGTAAGCGAGGATCAGGGGCGGGCGAGGCTCTTCTCCAGACTTGTGCGAGTGGCGGAGGGGGTTTCCAGCGCGGATTGAGGAGAGGGCTCAGGAAGCTGGCGATGTCACCGTGTGCGGGGGCGACTGCTTGCGGGGACCTCGTTTTCCCCAAGCGACTTGGCCCTGCCCCTCTCCCCGCCCCGCTCGCCCGTGGCGGGGGCGGTTCAGCACCCAGGTGCGCTCCGAGGGCTGTCACCTCGGTCCGCGGCCTCCCACGCCCTTCCCTGGGCGCCTCCTCGGACCCTCTTTTGCTCTGTATAGGAGTACATACCAAACCTTCGTGGCTTCTTTTTTTTAAATTTAATTTAATTAATTTTTTATACATCAGGTTCTTACGTTATCCATTTTATACATATTAGTGCATATATGTCAATCCCGGTCTCCCGATTCATCCCACCACCATCCCACCACCACCCGCCCCTCGCCTTCGTGGTTTCTTGACCCAGTTAGCTAAAACGGAGGCACCGCTCGCAGCACCTGGCGACCGCTTGGGCGCTGCGTGTTGCACGCGTCCACAGTTACGGTTTGGTCCCCTCCATTCGTCCCCCGCCCCCACTGTTACCACCTCTTTCCTCCCAGACCACACCCGCTGCTCCGGGCCTTGCTGGGAGCCACCTCCTTCCCTTTTCGCATCCCTGGAATAGATCAGAACCAGAACGTTAATGATTATTTATTACAAAATTGATATCGGCTCGTTTAAATATAAACGAAACCCAAACCTTTATAAACTTTTAATGTATTAATGGACGCAAACTCTCTTAGATACCCGTTCCTTGAAAACACTATACCGTATTTTTTTAGTTTCATTGCAAGGGTAGAAGGAACAGTACTGAAAGGTTTCGTTAATATCGAAGGTACGAGAGAAAAGAGGTTTAAGAGGGGGAAGGAATTATAAATTTTGGTCAAGTTGAGTTTGTTTTAAAAATATATATTTATTCTGTATTTATTTTGGTTGTAGTCCATGCATACAATCATATCAAAAATTTAAAATAGATCCTCTTTGACCTATCTCTTTACATCTCCATCTTTTCTTCTTTAATCTCTTGACCCCAGGTAAAAACTGTTATCAGTTTGGGGTGTTTTTTCTATTTCTTTGTCTTTACATTTATTGATATGTGTTTGTACTTATAAATATGTAAGGTTTTGTGTTAAACTTTTACAAATGTGGCATATTGTACCAATTCAACAACTAGACTTTTTATGCTTAAAAATGGGTCTTGGGACTTTTTCTTTGTCAATATGTAGACATCTAGCGTATTCGTTCTACCTGCTCTGTAAATTTCAGAGTGTGTTAAGATCCCATTGTATGTGAGATACCATAGGTTGCTTACAGTTTTTCACCATTAGGCACAGTGTCGCAGAGAATATCCTTACACCTGCGTCTGTGTGCTTGTGTGAGCGTTTGTCAAGGATAGAAACCTGCAGGTGGAATTAGTGGGTAGGAGGGTGTGGATGTTTAATGCCAAACTGCCCAACAGTGTATAATCATACCTATTTCCCCAGCTCTTTTAAACATTTGATGGTATCAATCTTTTTTACTTTTGCCAACCTGATGGGTGGAAAATGACTCTAATTTGGTGTTTTAATTTGTATTTCCCTAGTCATTGGTGAGATTGAGCATTTCTTCATGATTGTTGGCTGTTTGTATTACCTCTTTTGAGAAATGTCTCATTTCTATTGGGTTATCTTTTATATATGGTAGTGTTTTTTTTTTAATGGTAGTGTTTTATATATTCAGGATATTAATCTTTTATCATTCATATATGTTTGAAATATTTATTCCCAACATACTGCATTTTAAAGTCGTTACCTTTTAACCATAGAGCATCTTTGTAGCACAAAAGTTGTAAATTTTATGTTTAAATGTATCAGTCTTTTACTATGTGTATTTTGTATTTTGTGACTTTCATTCCTTATCCCAGTGGTTCTCAAATGGGAGCTATTTTGCTTTCTAGGAGCAACTTGGCAATGTCACGAGACATTTTTTGGTTGTCATCTAGTGGGTAGAAGCCAGGGATGATGTTAAACATCCTACAATGCACAGAAAAGCCCCTATAACAAAGAATTTTTCTGGCCTAAAATGTCAGTAGTGCTGAGGTTGAAAAACCCTGTTCTACCTTGAAGCAGAGTTTTCTCTTATGAGTATGTTTTCTCCTGTAAGTTGTTATATGGTAGAGTTTTTCTCTAATTCCTGTGTGTGTGTGTTTGAGTGTGTGTGTGTGTGTGTGAGAGAGAGAGAGAGAGAGAGAGAAAATGGTGTGTGCCTTACTCTTTCCAAACAATGTCACTCTGAATGTCAGTCCATTCTTGACCCACTAATCTAAAATGACGCATTTATCATGTACTAATTTCTCACCCACATAGTGTCTGTTTCTGGTGTCTGTTTCTGGACTGTCTTCTGTTCTATGTCCTAATTTTCTATTTTGCTAGACCAATACCATAACATTCTATATCAAATATATATTACACTTTGATATCTAGTAGTATAAATAGTCCTCATGATTATTTTTATTGTTATTTTATTAGACGTCATATACTTTATCAGCTCACATACTCATTATCTAATCAGTGTTTTGGTGGTAGTCTTACAATTTATTTTCCAGATTAATTTTAGAATCAGCTTGTCAAGTAGTTTTTTTTTTTTTTTTGTATTGTTTTGTTTTGGCTGCATTGGGTCTTTGTTGCCGTGTGTGGGCTTTCTCTAGTTGTGGCGAGCAGGGGCTACTCTTCGTTGCGGTGCATGGGCTTCTCATTGCGGTGGCTTCTCTTGTTGTGGAGCACGGGCTGTAAGCACAGGGACTTCAGTAGTTATGGCACGCAGGCTCGGTAGTTGTGGCACACGGGCTCGGTAGTTGTGGCACAGGCTCTAGAGTGCAGGCTCAGTAGTTGTGATGCATGGGCTTAATTGCTCTGCGGCACATGGGATCTTCCTGGACCAGGGATCAAACCCGTGTCCCCTGCACTGGCAGGTGGATTCTTAACCACTGCACCACCAGGGAAGTCCTCAAGTAGTTTTTTTTTAAAGTGGCTTTATTGAGATGTAATTCACATAATTTGTTGTTTAAAGTGTACAATTCAGTGATTTTTAGTATATTCACAATTATGCAGCCACTACAACCTAATTTTAGAACATTTTTATCATCCCCCAAAGAATCCCATACCTATTAGCAGTCACTCCCCTTCCCATTCCCCAACACCCTAGCCCTAGAAAGCCACTAATCTTTCTGCCTTTATAGATCTAAATATTTTGTATAAATGGAATCATACGATATGTGGTATTTTGTGATTGGCTTCTTTCATTTAGCATAATGTTTTCAAGGTTCACCCATGTTGTAGCATGTGTCAGTACTCATTCCTTTTTATTGGTGAATAAAATTGTATCATATGGTGTATTTGTTTCCTAGGGATACGGTATTGAAGTAACGCAAACTGGGTGGCTTAAAATAACAAATGTATTCTCTCACAGCCCTGGAGGCTATAAAGTCCAAAATCAAGGGGTCAGGAGGACTGTGCTCTCTCTGAGGGCTCTAGGGGAGGATCCTTTCTTGCCTCTTTCTAGCTTCTGGTGGTTGCCAGCAATCCTTGGCATTCTTTGGCATTCCTTGGCTGCAACTGTGTAACTACAACTTCTGCCTCTGTTTTCTTCACATGGCCTTCATCCCAGAGTGTCTATCTTCACATCGTAATTCTCTCTGTGCAAGTCTGTCTCTGCGTCTCTTCTCCCCTTCATGTAGGACACCAGTTATATTGAATTAAGGGCCCACTCTACTCCAGCAGGACCTCATTTTAACTTAATTAGGTATGCAAAGGTCTTTTCCAAATAAAGTCACATTTGTAGGTAATGGGGGTGAGGACTTTTAATTGGGGGAACACAATTCAACCCATAACATTATGGATATGCTGTATTTTATTTATCCATTCATGAGCTGATGGACATTTGGTTTGTTTCCATTTTTTGGCTATTATGAATAATGCTGCTATGAACTATTGGGTGGACATGTGCTTTCATTCCTCTTGGATATATACTTAGGAGTGGAATTGCTAGGTCACATGGCAACTCTATGTTTAATCATTTGAGGAACTCCCAGATTATTTTCCAAAGCAGCTGTACTATTTTCTATCAACATCAGCAACGTATGAGAGTTCTAATTTCTCCATATTATTGCCAGTACTTATTAGCTGTCTTTTTAATTAGAGCCATCCTCATGGATGTGAAGTAGTATCTCATTGTGCTTTTGATTTGCATTTCCCTAATACCTAATGATGTTGAGCATCTTTTCATGTGCTTATTGGCCATTTGTATATCTTCTTTGAAGAAATGTCCATTCAGATTCTTGCCTGTTTTAAATTGGTTTCTTTGTCTTTTTATTATTGAGTTATGAGTTTTTAAAATTTATTTTATTAAAAAAATTTGGGGGGTCTGTGTTGGCTCTTCTTTGCTGCCCATGGGGCTTTCTCTAGTTGCAGTGAGCAAGGGCTACTCTCTGTTGTGGTGCGCGGGCTTCTCATTGCGGTGGCTTCTCTTGTTGCAGAGCATGGGCTCTAGGCGTGTAGGCTTCAATAGTTGCAGCATGCAGCTCAGTAGTTGCAGCACGTGGGCTCAGTAGTAGCGGCATGTGAGCTCTAGAGCGCAGGCTCAGTAGCTGTGGCACATGGGCTTAGTTGTCCCATGGCATGGCATGTGGGATCTTTCTGGACCAGGGATTGAACTCGTGTCCCTGCGTTGACAGACAGATTCTTAACCGTTGTGCCAACAGAGAACTCCCATAAGAGTTTTTTTTTTTTTTTAAGAGTTTTTTATATAGTCCAGATACATGCCCTTATGAGATCTATGACTAGCAAATATTTTCTCCCATCCCATGGGTTTTTTCACTTTTTTGATGGTCAATTCATTTTTTTGTTTCTTTTTATTTCCATTACTCTAGGAGGGGGATCAGAAAAGATCTTGCTGGGATTTATGT